CTAGCAGTTGCTGTTCGACAGGACAAGCATGAGCGGGAGCTGCGCAAGGTAAAGTTATTGCTTGCACTTTGTTTGAGACTCTTAACGGTAAGCTGTTTCTTTATTATATGAAAGTAACATGTTTATATGGAAGCAATGATGAGCCGCTGCCAGCTTCCGTTGTAAAGGACAATAAAGAAATTTAATGCCGGAAATCATAAATCAAGGAGAAATAATTGGCCAACACACGGTCTGCAAAGATGCGTTTTTTGCATAGTTCCCCGCAGTTTTTGTCGCTACCGGCACCGGTCTTTTTTTTTTGGCAGATGTTTCTAGCTAAACAAATTAAGACTGGCCGCCAGAAGTGTCAAGGAACACTGCTTAAAATTTCAGCTTTCTAGCTTTCCTGGCTCCCGAGTTAGCAACTTACCCGAAAAAAACTTTCATGGACCGAAGCATTTATTACCGTGGATTGCACACATACCCGGTGTCTGGGTTTGAGCGCATTAATATTCACTTGGATGGGGAATATTCCCTTAAAATTCCAATCCTCTAGCTTCTCAGGTTCCCGAGTTAGCAGCTTACCCGAAAACTTCCGCAGGCCGACACGTGGATACCACGCATACCCGAGGACTGATTTTGAGCACATTAATGCTTGCTTGGACGGGGGGCGTCCCTTGAAATTTCAGCTTTCCAGCATATCTGGTTCCCGAGTTAGCAACTTGCCCGTAAAAGACTTTGGTGGGCCCGTACGTGGGTGCCACGTGGGAAGACTGTCCATTTTGAGGTCGGCGCTTGTACATGCATGTAGATTAAGTTCCCAAAGTTTTAGCCTTGTAGCTTTCATAGATCTCCAAATGAAAAATCGGTACAGACAAACACAAAGGCACACATAGACAACCCCTAATTATTATGCGTTTTCTGAATTACATACATGCAAAAAACGAATAAAGGGAAATTCCACTGCTTCCTAACTGCTTGTGTTTAAAACTCTGAAATGAGGTATCGAAGGAATTAAGCGTTTTATTTGACGTCGAAATTTCATGAATATGTGATATTGTTTTGTCAGAGCCAAATCTTGCTTATTTCTTGTCCTTATTTCTTGAAAGTCACCAGGACTTTGAGACTTCTGGACAAGTTCTCTAGCCAGTTTGTGCAGGACGATGCTGACATGTGATTTATTTATGTTTTAGAATCAGATTGCTCAGTTTATGAGCTTTCAGAAACGATCTCTTCTGACTGGTGTCGGAGTGTTGGTTGTGGAACTGTGCGCGCAAACAACTTCAGCTGAGGCATCACCTAAAGAAAGGGTTGTGCTGGACCGTTTTGGTCGCAGACTAAGGACGAAAGAGAATCAGCCGAGGACATGGCAGTATCATCCGGAAATTGTTCGAACCAATGGTAACATTTTGTGGTCAGAGTGGCCTTCTCCCATATTTGTAATGCCGCTGAAGGGCTAGTTGCCCCGATAAGTTACGCTTGCTGCTCTCATTGTGAATTAGTTGCTTCGTTTGGATTTACCAGTGGCAGCATGCATTTTCACGAATCACTGATTTGCTTTTATAATGGCTGACATTTTTCGTATGCTGAAGAGCCAGACCAGCTTGATTTCATCATCATAAGAGTATCAACAGTCCAGCCCTTACCGGCGGATGATTACCATTAGCACCATAGTGTTCTTACTGAAGTCTTTTTGCCTCTCTCTTTATAAAAAGTGGCTTCTGATCGAGCAGCTGATTTTTGTTGTTTTTTGTTAGGCTGGACATAAAAAAAAAAGATTTGTAGTTTCGCTGGATACGACGACATTTCCAATCCGATTACAAGACGGTGTGCTACTCAGTGAACTTCCTCCTCCCCCTGCTCATCCCACTGCTCCTGATGAAGTTAGTTTTTTTTTTTCTTTTTTTCATTTCTCTGTGTTTGTCAGTTTTATTGAAAGAAAAGGGGTATATTTACCAGTACTTTAAATTTCCCAGTGGTTTACTTTTAAAATAGTCCTCGGACTGGGGTTCCGTTGACAGTCCTGGTAGCGGTTAGGTTCTCTTGACATTTGCTTCCACCCGGCTTGTTTCTAAGTGTCGCGGTGAATGGGTTTTTGAATTTTGACTTTCGCGCACTATTTTCCTAAATGATTTTGTTAGTACCACCAGTCGCCAGGCATGCGTTTTATGGGAATTTGACATTACAGTGAACATAGAAAGGCTGCTTATGCAGTAAATTCTTATATTGTGAGGCCATTTTCATGTTGCTCGAACCTTTTTTGGGGTTTACATGGTAAATTACTTGTGCTTTGCACATTATTTTTGTCCCAACGTCGCAGTGCTTGTCAAAATCCCTCTTCGTATTCACTCTGTTTTAGAACCAAAATTGCTCAGAAATATTCCGAGTTCTATTTTTTGCAGTAGCAACCATCCACTGGCAGTGTTTTTGTGATTTCCTCGTTCAAGGGTTGCTTAAAAGCAAGCTGATGGAATTTTAAGTTTTAGTGTGATTTAAAATTCAACACAGAGTAATAGGTCGTGGTAGCTGAGCTTACATAAAATGCTTTTCATTAATCATCCGCTTTGTTGTGCTTAATGTTTTTGTATTTTTGGAGAACAAATGAGGATTTTGTTTGACTTCTTTTAAAAATGCATGGCCTTTTTGAAGATTCGAAAAGCTATCCGTGCAAAAATGGTGCGATGTAAA